TTAAGGACTTTGCTTTTTCCTCTATGTATGTTCAGGCCGATGCAAGCAGAGTACTGTGCCACATAATTAGCTTTCTCTTGCATCTGTTGCTGTGTGTGTGATATTAAGGCCAGATCATCCGCAAAATCCAGGTCAACAAGCTGTTTCCACAGTGTCCACTGGATACCATTTCTCTTCTGCTCTGTAGACATTTTCATTATCCAATCAATGGTCAACAGGAATAAGAAAGGCGAAAGCAGACACCTCTGTCTGACACTAATCTGTACCACAAAAGCTGCTGTTGTTTGTTGGCCGTGGACAATTCTGCACGATAGTCCTTCGTAAGAAGCCTTAATTATATCTGTCAATTTTTGTGGTACCCCGTAGTGTCTAAGAAGCAGTCTGTCTGTTAACACTATCAAAAACCTTCTCATAGTCCATGAAGTTGACGTATAGTGGCGAGTTCCACTCCAGGGATTGTTCCACAATGATTCTCAGTGTGGCAATATGGTCTGTGCAGGATCTGTCTTTTCTGAAACCTGCTTGTTGGTCCCTAAGATTGGTATCTACTGCATCCCTCATTCTGTTTAGCAGCATTCTATTAAATACTTTGCTTGGGATGGACAGCAGGTTATCCCTCTATAGCTAGAAAATGAACTAAGGTCTCCTTTCTTCGGGAGCTTAATAAGGTGTCCTTCTTTCCATTCAATCGGTATCTGTTCTTTCTACCATATTTTCTTAATGGTGTGTGTAGTATTTCAGTGCTAGTCATGATATCTGCTGTCAAGGCTTCTGTCGGTATTCAGTCTGGACCTGCCACCTTGCCTTTCTTTATTTGTTTAATTGCTCTGCATATTTCTTGCTTTGTGGATGTGCTGCAATCTATTTCTAGACTTTGTTCCGCTGGCTCTATGTTGAGTGTGTGTTGTGGTGCTGACCGGTTGAGAAGTCCTTCAAAATACTCTATCCATCTTTCTTTCTGACCCTCTTCATCAGGTATTGATTTCCCATCTTTAGTTTTAACTGGTCTCACTGGATTGTTGAACTTTCCAGATAACTTTTTGATTGTACTGAATAATTCTCTTGTGTTTCCATGGTACGCAGCCTCCTCTGCTTCACTTGCTAATCCTTCTATGTAGTTCTTTTTATCTGTCCTTAAACTACGTTTAACTTCTTTATTTGCTTCTGAGTATTCTGTTGATGCTCTGGCCTTTTCGGTTCTGGTGCGGCTATTGTTTAGATTTGCCTTCTTCTTTTTCCTACATCGGATTTTTCCATAGTTTCAGCATAAATCCATTCTTTATGCGTTTGTTGCCTAGGGCAACGTCTTTGCAGGTAGTCGTGAATATCTCTTTGATTGCTTTCCGATTTTGGTCAATTGTTTCCTCATTGCCTAGTTCCCGTAGGATCTGGAACTTGTTGGAGATTGTAAGTTTAAACTAATTTATTTTGGAACTCGTCTTTCAAGAGGTTGGTGTTAAAATATTGTCCCTTGCTTCCTTCGCTTGTCCAGTTCTTTTTCAGTTTCAGCCTTAATTTGGCAATCAGTAGGTGGTGGTCTGAGGCTACATCTGCCACCCCCCCCCTTTTTACCCTAGCATCTTGGAGTGATCGTCTAAAATTATTGCCAATACAGAAATGGCCAATTTGTTTAGCCGTTGACATATCTGGTGAAATCCATGTTGCCTTGTGGATATTTCTATGCATAAAGAAGCTTCCTCCAGTGAACAGTCCATCTGTAGCACATAGATCTGCTAGTCTTTCACCATTTTCAATCATCTCTCCCATACCGTGTGTTCCCATTGCATTCTTCATAGCCTTTATTGTTGCTGCCTATTTTCTCTTTTAGGTCGCCTATGAGTATAACCATATTCCTATTAGGACACCTTTGGACAAGGGTTCGCAGCCTGTTGTAGAAATCCTATTTGTCCTCTTCTTTACTATCGTTGGTAGGAGCGTATACCTGTAGGATGTCCATATTGATTTTTGGTGTTTTTTTGGTCTTAAATCTTGCCGTGATTATACGGGGACCATGCCCTTCCCACCCTAGAAGTTCGTTCTGGGCAGTTCTGGAAAGCATGAGTGCCACTCATTTGGCTGTGCGCTGAATTTTCATCTTTGTGTCCTGAGTATAGCAGAAGTTCCCCTCTGCTGAGTTTTATCTGACCTGAGCCTCTCCATCGAGACTCACTTATTCCTAAGATGGCTAGTTTGTACCTTTGCATTTCAGCATCAACTTGGACAATTTTTCGGGTTTCGATCATGGTCCTTACGTTCCATGTTCCTAGGCTGGTGGGGGTTCTAGTGGAGAGGATGGTTGTCCTTACGTTCCCTGTTCCTAGGCTGGTGGTGGTCCTAGTGGAGAGGATGGTTGTCCGCCGGTTGGTTACCAGTTGGCTTTGGCCACCCAGCGTCATTAATTCTGTTAGGAGACCCATCCTTTCCAAGGTCCGAGTTTCTTTTTGAAATCTTTGTTCGTGTTTTTGTAGCAGGGCTTTTTTACAAGGAAGGGATGCTAGCCCTTCGTACAACGCTCCTCCTTTCTCACCCGGGCATGGGACCGGCTACGGTGGAGTTATCATTTAATACTAGCCGTTAAAAGGTTTATTCTGTTAAGTGGTTTTTCATAAATAAAAACTTCAATTTACATTTTTTCTACGTATCACTTTAACTTTAAATGAACTTCGATTCAAATAGTAACAAAAATATTTTTGTTAGGATAACAGGTTTAAAAGAGAGAAAAACGAAAGATCTTGAGCTTTATGGTGCCGAGTCGAAACATATGGTTTGCTTGCAAGCGCTGGACAGGGGACTATCATTTAGGGAAATACCGTTGCTAGAGTATAGAGTCAGAGTATCACCATTTGTTATACACTGTGCTAGAGTACAGCGTCAGGTAAAAACCGGATTTAAGCGTCTTTTGAAAGGGATGTAGTTGTATTATAAAATATAAAGCCTTTAACTTAACCAGATTATAACGGTCTTTAAGGTCATTGGCGCCACCTGGACTTTTGTTTAGCTCACAATTCACCAGCGTAACCAGTAACCAGACATGTTACGCATTTATAATGAGTGGTTTGTATGAGCGGATCACTATTTAGACTCATTTATTTGTCCAAAAGTAAAAGATAATAATTGAACAACTTTATTTTACACAGTAAAATATTTTCGGTATATTTTTTCACACCCTGTACTCCTAATTTCGGCAACAACAAAGAAGTTCTCTAAAGTTGTTTATTTTTACTGTGCAGTGTTTCTCGTCGTACTTCTATTTGTCGTGTACCCTGAAGAAGGCCGTATCAGAAATGTTCACATCTTATTGTTTTGTCCTTTGAATCAAGTTTCAACATACCTATGTTTTTGTCCACACTCTTCTCAATAATAAGCTTAAGAGTTCTACCTATTTTTCAACCCAGGCTGTTGGTGTGCATATGAGTACACCAGTTTTGATAGCTATCCTATCTCTCCCTTTCGTTCCACGCTTTCTTGTAGACCTTCCCTAAGAACTGGTGCTGGGTGGCCGAGCGGTCTAAACTAACTCAATCCAAATAGCTGGTGGTCTGGAGTTCAAGCTCTACCAAAGCAAAAACATACCAAGCCCCCTGGATGGATGGGACCAGTTATTCCTGGACGAAAACTCATCTAAGAGAAGTCATACTCTGAATTCAAACCACGAACCAGAATTATCAATAAATTTGTCGTGGCCCTTAAAATATTGAAGACAAAGATCTGACGCTAGCCAGTCAGTTAACGGGATAATGCCAAACTATTTTGTTCTGTGCACACTTCCGATAGCGTTCGTTCTCACGACTTCAGACACTCATGTAGACTCCAACCCAGATCGACTTCTAAACCGATGGTAATATATTTTAAAAGTAGCACACATTATAACAGGATTTAAGAGCGGATAACTCTTCAAATTTGGAAAGATTTATCCTCAGGAAAACTCAAAGGAATTTTAGTTCCCATCATAACAAACTCAGGCATGAAGGACTTTTGGTTCAAATTAGAACAAACTCAGGCATGAAGGACTTTTGGTTCAAATTAGAACAAACTCAGGCATGAAGGACTTTTGGTTCAAATTAGAACAAACTCAGGCATGAAGGACTTTTGGTTCAAATTAGAACAAACTCAGGCATGAAGGACTTTTGGTTCAAATTAGAACAAACTCAGGCATGAAGGACTTTTGGTTCAAATTAGAACAAACTCAGGCATGAAGGACTTTTGGTTCAAATTATAACAAAGTCAGGCATGAATGACTTTTGGTTCAAATTATAACAAAGTCAGGCATGAATGACTTTTGGTTCAAATTATAACCATAATTAAGACTTGAAGAGATTTTAGCTCCTATCATAACCAACTCAGACCTGGTTTGAGTTTTGTGACATGTGAGATCTTCTGTGTATTTTTCTCCAATTTTACACGTATCCTCGCTTGGACACATGTGTACACACTAATGCCTGTGTTTGAATAGTTTACGAGCTATAGGTGATATTCCAAAACTCTATAGACCATTTCGTTTTGTTTGCCTTGGTTTATTCCATAATAATCACCCATAATCAGGATTTTCATTGATAATTCAGGCCATCAGTTTAACCATCATGAGTCGTGATGGTGACGGTGGCGCAATCCGGGAGCGCATCTAGATGATCTGATCCCATCCACGTGAGTGATAAAAATATCTCCTCCCAAAGATACAATATTACAGTCTCGCTGACCTTGCAAGAATGGAAGCCTCGCCAAAAGAAAGATAGCTGCTGCCACAGGACTCGCCCTCCACCTGGATTAACGGGTCCTAAAATCTTTCAGACGCTTGCCACTTGTGTACTTTAGAGGGAGTTACGGAGATTTAAAAAAACATTGAAATATTCAACTGCGGACTAAAAATCAATAGAATAAAATTTGCACCATACGGCACTTGACGAGGACACCAATATGCACTTCCTGTGTTACTAAGCTGTGTTCTAAGCAATAGGAATCATTTGTTGCACTCATTAACATGGAGGAGTTATAAGATTTGAAAACCAAAGTGGACCATCATAAGTTTGGGAGATTTCATCGTTTTTTTCGGCCATTGGGTTAAATTCACCATACAAAACCGCCCAAATCAACCATCAAAAAACTGGTGCGGCTTAACATTCTTATCTGGTAATTACTGTCAATATCTTTATTTGAGGACTCGTAAGTATATTGTAATATAACTTTTCATCTTGAAATATCAGCATTTGAGGTATTCCGGTTTATTAAACTCTATTGGAAAGAAGTCTCTGAATGAAATATCCCGTTGCAAATGTATGTGCAGAGTGTGGTACGGGCATTGATTTATTTGTCATTAAGTATGTGGCTGTAAAGCTTTTTTCAAACAAACAAGAAGCATTTTAACAGGGTATATCGCTCGAATGTTTTGCCAAAGCCGGACCTGAACCAAGTACTACATCATTCGTCAAACCTCTAGAGCCATAAATTCAATAGTGGGTGGTGTGACCTAAGGTACGTGGAACACTCAGCCAGACGGTTGTAAGTAACACACAGTATTTTGCGCGCTACAAGCATGTCACATGTCAATAGTCGTTGTCCATCATATTTTGGGAACTAGCTAGTTCCATCATTCAAAGTGGACGCCCAACAGACCTAACAAGCCTAATCTAGGTGATCGAATCTACAGCAATGGCTGCCCACAACATTTTTTAATAAACTTATCTCAAAGCAATGGAGAAAAGTAAATATTTAAGTAAGTTATTGAAATTATTTTCATTGTTCATTATCCTTTTATTGTATACTAGCGAGAACGCGACATGCGTTGCAATGCCACCCTAAGAAAGAAAGTGTTTGTGTTTTAATAATGTTTTTTGAAGTTCTTTTTATATGATCGGGTGATTCGATTGTCCTTGTCAATCTTCGACGGAAGAGCAATAAATAACTTAAACCTACATATTAGTAAAACGTCCTTACATCATCATAACAGAAGGTCTACAGGAGACAATTTAAAAACAGATTTCAGAGAGTGATTGTGGATTGCATAAGCTCACAAGATGATACATATACAGTCTGCAACAGAAAATGTCAATTACAAATTGAAAGAGCTAAAATTAGACCAAGGCCAAGGCACGCTACCCTTTTTCTTCATCCGGTAGAACACGGTTCTACCTACGAATTTCACAACACCAGATTATTGGATGAAATGAAATGAACACATCTGGAAGGAATCAGAATATATGGATACAGTGCAAAAGATCGCTAGAAAGTATTTAAAAAAGAGAAGCTACTACTTTACTTGGTGAAGAGAACATGTCCATTTGCTGTAAAGAAGACAAAGACAGAAAGAGTTTTTAGGAATGATGTGCAGTGTATCAAATCAACGTTGATGGAGTATAAAATATCGATTTTATTACCAAAAATTAGGCGTGTGTCCATCTATTTCCACCTATTTCCACCTATTTCCACCTATGTCCATCTATGTCTGCAAATGTCTATTTATCTCTGCCTATGTCAATCTATGTCTACCTATGTCCATCTATGTCTACCTATGTCTATCTAAGTCTATCTATGTCAACCTATGTCCATCTATGTCTACTTATGTCCATATATGTCTACCTATGTCCATCTATGTCTAACTATGCCCATTTATGTCTACCTATGTCTATCTAAGTCTATCTAAGTCTATCTATGTCAACCTATGTCCGTCTATGTCTGCCTATGTCCATCTATGTCTACATATGTCCATCTATGTCTACCTATGTCGCTCTATGTCTACCTATGTCTATCTAAGTCTATCTATGTCAACCTATGTCCATCTATGTCTACTTATGTCCATCTATGTCTACCTATGTCCATCTATGTCTAACTATTCCCATTTATGTCTACCTATGTCTATCTAAGTCTATCTAAGTCTATCTAAGTCTATCTATGTCAACCTATGTCCGTCTATGTCTGCCTATGTCCATCTATGTCTACCTATGTCCATCTATGTCTACCTATGTCCATCTATGTCTACAAATGTCTATCTATGCTTGCCTATGTCCATCTGTGTACCTATGTCCATCTATATCTGCCTATATCAATCAATGTCTACCTATGTCCATCTATGTCTACGTATGTCCATCTGTGTCTACCTATGTCCATCTATGTCTAACTATGTCCATCTATGTCTACCTATGTCTATCTAAGTCTATTTATGTAAACCTATGTCCATCTATGTCTACTTATGTCAATCTATTTCTACCTATGTCCATCTATTTCTGCCTATTTTCATCTATGTCCATCTATGTCCACCTATGTCCATCTAGGTCTACCTATGTCAATGTATGCCAACCTATGTTCACCTTTCTCCACCTATGTACATCTATGTCCACCTATGTCCATCTATGTCTGCCTATGTCCATCTATGTCTATCTATCTCCATCTATGTCTGCCTATGATCATCTATGTCTACCTATGTCCACCTATATCTACTTATGTCCATCTATGTCCATCCATGTCTGCCTATGTCCATCTATGTCTACTCATGTCCATCTATGTTTTACTTATGTACATCTATGTCCATCTATGTCCACTTATGTACATCTATGTCCACCTATGTCCATCTATGTCTGCCTATATCCACCTGTGTCGATGTATGTCTATCTATTTCCAACTATGTCCATCTATGTCCACCTATGTCCGCCTATGTTCACCAAAGTGCAGCGATGTCTACCTATGTCCGCCTATGAACATCTATGTCCACCTTTTTTCACTAAAGTCCATCTATGTCCATCTATGCCGACCTATTTCCTCCTTTGTCCATCTTTGTCCATCTGTGTCCAGCTATGTCCGCCTATGTCCATCTATGTCCAACTATGTCAGCCTATGTCCACCAATGTCCACCAATACAGAGTATAGAAATAGACCTAAAACGATTTAAAAAATTGGTAATCACAATGAAATGACGGAATCATTTCAAACCATAATTGGGTCGTTATTGAGTGTTACGAATTTTCACAGGCTGAATTAAAGATATCGTTCCTCTGTCCGACATCAAACTCTCAAAGAAAATGTTTGAAATTACCAGAAGCCTATATGTTCTCCCACTTCTTGTAGTAATGAGCTACCAACCTGGTAAGGGTTTCAAGAAATAACAGTTTATTTGTTTACGTTTGTCAAATATTTAAATCATTTTTAACTGACAGTTATACTGATTTCTCTTCAATGTGTTGCTATTTTTTTAAATAAATATTAATGTTTAGAAGATCTCAGAAATAAAATAAAAAAATATATATACTTTACTGCTTTTTAAAGTTTTGGTTAAAAATTGGCTCAAGTGAAGTTATTTGGGAGAAGATGTTGAAAGTAGTCAAGAAAAGACACAGTATAAATATTACTAATTTATTTGCAACAATGGCTTTTATTTTCTCGTTTCCCACTTAGTTTGCAGCTTTGATGTTGATACAACTAGAGTCTTTCTTGAACCGGTCATGTATAAAAAGAGTTGCAGAAATGGAATGGTGGCGAATCAAGACTATTTCGTCGTAAAAGGTCTTGTCAACATCAGCAACATTGACGAAGGTGGTAAGGGCTTGATGTCGGTTTTTTATTGGGATCGAAGGATGAAGGGCAACGTATGGGTAAGTAGCTTATTATAACAAATGTTTAAAAACAGTAACCAAACATGTTATTCTAAAGTGTAATTTCCTGCTTCACAATTTTTTGGGCATCTTTCCAATCTTTATGAGACGATGGAGTAGATTATTGACACTTTCTTAAATGGCTCATGAGACGATGGAGTAGATTATTGTCACTTTCTTGAATGGCTCATGAGATGATGGAGTAGATTATTGACGCTTTCTTGAATGGCTCATGAGACGATGGAGTAGATTATTGACACTTTCTTGAATGGCTATTGAGACGATGGAGTAGATTATTGCCACTTTCTTGAATGGCTCATGAGATGATGGAGTAGATTATTGACGCTTTCTTGAATGGCTCATGAGACGATGGAGTAGATTATTGACACTTTCTTGAATGGCTATTGAGACGATGGAGTAGATTATTGACACTTTCTTGAATGGCTCATGAGATGATGGAGTAGATTATTGACGCTTTCTTGAATGGCTCATGAGACGATGGAGTAGATTATTGACGCTTTCTTGAATGGCTCATGAGACGATGGAGTAGATTATTGACACTTTCTTGAATGGCTATTGAGACGATGGAGTAGATTATTGACACTTTCTTGAATGGCTCATGAGACGATGGAGTAGATTATTGACACTTTCTTGAATGGCTCATGAGACGATGGAGTAGATTATTGACACTTTCTTGAATGGCTCATGAGACGATGGAGTAGATTATTGACACTTTCTTGAATGGCTCATGAGACGATGGAGTAGATTATTGACACTTTCTTGAATGGCTATTGAGACGATGGAGTAGATTATTGACACTTTCTTGAATGGCTATTGAGACGATGGAGTAGATTATTGACACTTTCTTGAATGGCTCATGAGACGATGGAGTAGATTATTGACACTTTCTTGAATGGCCCATGAGACGATGGAGTAGATTATTGACGCTTTCTTGAATGGCTCATGAGACGATAGAGTAGATTATTGACACTTTCTTGAATGGCTATTGAGACGATGGAGTAGATTATTGACGCTTTCTTGAATGGCTCATGAGACGATGGAGTAGATTATTGACACTTTCTTGAATGGCTATTGAGACGATGGAGTAGATTATTGACACTTTCTTGAATGGCTCATGAGACGATGGAGTAGATTATTGACACTTTCTTGAATGGCTCATGAGACGATGGAGTAGATTATTGACACTTTCTTGAATGGCTCATGAGACGATGGAGTAGATTATTGACACTTTCTTGAATGGCTCATGAGACGATGGAGTAGATTATTGACACTTTCTTGAATGGCTCATGAGACGATGGAGTAGATTATTGACACTTTCTTGAATGGCTCATGAGACGATGGAGTAGATTATTGACACTTTCTTGAATGGCTCATGAGACGATGGAGTAGATTATTGACACTTTCTTGAATGGCTCATGAGACGATGGAGTAGATTATTGACACTTTCTTGAATGGCTCATGAGACGATGGAGTAGATTATTGACACTTTCTTGAATGGCTCATGAGACGATGGAGTAGATTATTGACACTTTCTTGAATGGCTCATGAGACGATGGAGTAGATTATTGACACTTTCTTGAATGGCTCATGAGACGATGGAGTAGATTATTGACACTTTCTTGAATGGCTCATGAGACGATGGAGTAGATTATTGACACTTTCTTGAATGGCTCATGAGACGATGGAGTAGATTATTGACACTTTCTTGAATGGCTCATGAGACGATGGAGTAGATTATTGACACTTTCTTGAATGGCTCATGAGACGATGGAGTAGATTATTGACACTTTCTTGAATGGCTCATGAGACGATGGAGTAGATTATTGACACTTTCTTGAATGGCTCATGAGACGATGGAGTAGATTATTGACACTTTCTTGAATGGCTCATGAGACGATGGAGTAGATTATTGACACTTTCTTGAATGGCTCATGAGACGATGGAGTAGATTATTGACACTTTCTTGAATGGCTCATGAGACGATGGAGTAGATTATTGACACTTTCTTGAATGGCTCATGAGACGATGGAGTAGATTATTGACGCTTTCTTGAATGGCTCATGAGACGATGGAGTAGATTATTGACACTTTCTTGAATGGCTATTGAGACGATGGAGTAGATTATTGACACTTTCTTGAATGGCTCATGAGACGATGGAGTAGATTATTGACACTTTCTTGAATGGCTCATGAGACGATGGAGTAGATTATTGACGCTTTCTTGAATGGCTCATGAGACGATGGAGTAGATTATTGACGCTTTCTTGAATGGCTCATGAGACGAATGAGTACATTATTGACACTTTCTTGAATGGCTCATGAGACGATGAAGTAGATTATTGACACTTTCTTGAATGGCTATTGAGACGATGGAGTAGATTATTGACGCTTTCTTGAATGGCTATTGAGATGATGGAGTAGATTATTGACACTTTCTTGAATGGCTCATGAGATGAAGGAGTAGATTATTGACACTTTCTTGAATGGCTCATGAGATGATGAAGTAGATTATTGACGCTTTCTTGAATGGCTCATGAGACGATGGAGTAGATGATTGGCACTTTCTTGAATGGCTCATGAGACGATTGAGTAGATTATTTACGCTTTCTTGAATGGCTCATGAGACGATGGAGTAGATTATTGACACTTTCTTGAATGGCTCATGAGACGATGGAGTAGATTATTGACGCTTTCTTGAATCGCTCATAAGATTTTGGAATAGCGTATTGCCAATTTTTTTGAATGGCTCATGAGACGATGGAAAAGCGTATTGAAAATGTATTGATTGCCTCTTTAGATGATAGAGTAGCTAGGTGACATTTTCTCGATTGCCCTTTATGAGACCAGTTTTGAAATGGCAGTCACAGTTGCACTTCTCGGAGTAGAACGTTGCACGCTGCCTAGTCGATCCTTGCCGTCCGTAAAAGATCTCTCGTTCTTTCACACCAGACCCCAATGAAAATGTCTTTCTCACCCCCTCATATGTCTCACCTGGGGGGGGGGGGAGGGGGGACAAAATTTTACTACTCAAGGCTTGATGCAAAACGTAAAAGATCTCTCGTTCTTTCACACCAGACCCCAATGAAAATGTCTTTCTCACCCCCTCATATGTCTCACCTGGGGGGGGGGGGGGGAGGACAAAATTTTACTACTCAAGGCTTGATGCAAAGTTGTACCACCACTTTGCTCCCTGTCATTTAAGAACAACTTGCCCCCTTCCCTAAAAGAGGAATCATTAGATCCTACTACTCCCGAATGCCAAACCAGTTTACAGTCTTTGTTGCTGTCCTTATCTCCCTTTGGTCTTTGTTAGATAGCTCCCTGTCAGCATCCGGGACCTAAAAAAAGGAGGTCATTTCCCATACGAGGGACGTGTCCCCTGATTCCAGAATTTCGTCATCCCATAAGACGAACCATTGCTACCACAATTACAGTGGTTATATCACATGACTCAAGAATAGTAGAGATAAAATTGTAAAATTAACATCAAACTTCTGTATTTTTTATTTTAAAAAAATTGTCAAAGTCGAATACATTTTGCACTTTAAAACCATTCTTAATTGTAAGAAAATATGTTTTATTACAAAAATTGTGGCATTATCTTTTCGAAAGTTTACTTTTGACATTTTACATGCGATAATTCACTTTCGATATTTTACTGTGAACGTTTTACATTTTACATTGTAAATATTTTTTTTTTTATAATTGTTAAAGAAAATACTTTTGTGGCCGTGGAATTTAATGATGCTGTGTTATGTAATCAATCGTCAGGAGGAGATTAAGTTTTATATTTATAATCGGATCATCATCTTCATGTCTCTTAGTCCTTGGACTGTTGGGGCGCCACAGATGACATGAAAACTATCCTCATGTATTCGTCTCTGTTTTCTGCACTTCGCACAGTATAGCCTGGTTTTAGTCCCGTCCTCTATTTGATGCTATCTTCCCGTCTTTTTCTTTGTCACACTCTTCTTCTCCCTCCTCTCGTTTTGCCCTGCATTATTTCTTTGTTGAGCCAATGTTTCTTTTTCACGTGTCCGTTGTAGTTTGCGCATTTTTACAGTCACCAGGAGGTCATTGTGCTGCAAAATTGGCCGACAAATCCTTTCTTTCCATTGGATCAGTCTTCATTAAATCTAGCTAAAGACAGACAGGAATCATTTGAACTAAGAAATTAGACATATCACCGAAATGAATTGAATTGAATATTTATATAGCACTTGTATCCATGCTACTTTAGCATGCTCCATAGCGCTCCATAGCGCTCCATAGTGCTCCATAGTGCTCCATATCGCTCCATAGCGCTCCATAGCGCTCCATAGCGTTCCATAGTGCTCCATAGTTCTCCATAGTGCTCCATAGCGCTCCATAGTGCTTCATAGTGCTCCATAGCGCTCCATTGTGCTCCATAGCGCTCCATAGTGCTCCATAGTGCTCCATAGCGCTCGATGTTCTTAAATCTATTCAAATTCAAAACGTTTTTTAATGTTTCTTAAATGACTTTTTATCATTTTCAATTTCCATCAAAGATTGGGGCAAACTGTTCCATAATTTTGGTACTATCGCTTCAAAGAAGCGCACTCCATATGACTTTTGTCTGTGTTCCTCCCCACTTGAAACTCTCAGTAAGGACTGTGTTGAAGACCGCACGGTGTCCATCCACACTGGGAACTCCCAGTAAGGACTGTGTTGAAGACCGCATTGTGTCCATCCACACTGGGAACTCCCAGTAAGGACTGTGTTGAAGACCGCATTGTGTCCATCCACACTGGGAACTCCCAGTAAGGACTGTGTTGAAGACCACAGGTTCTTTAAGGATACGTGTTTAGAAATGAGTTCTTTAAGATATTCCGGTGCAGAGCCTTCTATACAGCTGTACGGCAGGGACAGAACTTTGTAGTCAATGCGCTGTCTTACATGAAGCCAATGTATTTCCCTAAGAACTGTGGTTAGATTTATTTATCCATGATGCTGTATTCTGCACCTTCTGGAGTCTCTGAATTTGGTTTTGAGGTAAACCACACAAACAACTGTTACAGTAATCTTACCCTGACTTGACTAGAGTTATTTCTACAGCATTGGCTTTTCTCTTATTGAGTTGAGGACGCAGCTGACTCATGGCGCGCAGACGACAAAAGTATGCCCTGACCACAGAACTGATATGGGGAATCATTCTAAGTTTACTGTAAAAATAAAAACCAAGGTTACTGACACTAGAGGATAACGGAATATCAGAACCACCAACTTTTATTGATGCTATGACAACTTTCCGAAGATTGGCGCCAGAACCACAAATACATGCCTCAGTCTTATCGTCATCTAATTTCAGTCTGTTTGATGAAATCCGTTCATTCTCAACAAGACAGCATTCCTTGACAACCTGAACAGCAACAGCACACTCCAAAGGATTAGGGCGGAAAAACTTGTACAGTTCTGTGTCACCCGCAAACAATTTGGGGGAAATACCATGACTTTCAATAATTTTGTTAAATTAAAAACCGAGTTCGACGTCGTGTAAAAAACGCCACCCCTAAGCAGATAGCTATCAAGGGTACTCAGCTGACGCAGTGTAGCAGTTGAGTAGTGAAGAGGTGGCATTTCTTTCAAGTTTATTTCTCAGAATATCAAAACAACTTGAAACAGGCAGACAGTTTTGTTTGTCAGACAATCGCTACACAGCGTCGCACATAGTCCTGTCGAGAAATTTACAAGCTGTTACCTCGGAGCTTCAACGCGGTGGTTTTTTTTATGAGTGAAATGATTAAACACTGAATAAACACTGTTACGGAAAGAAAACAAGGAAAACAGAATAGGAAAACACAGACTAAGTCCACCGATTCTTAGTTATGTTCGAAATAAATTATATTCATACGTCCAGGAGACTTTCATAGACACAAAATATCCAACTATCCAGGAATGACATTTAAGAGAAGTATTCGGAAAATGAGAAAACTGTGGAGAGATGTCACTACTGCATGTAAAGCCACTCGTCAAACAAGGACAATTAGATATGATTGAAGAGTTAGAAATAACATATTACCACAGGGAAAAGACTATTGGGGATACTTAGGGAGTAAGACAGACAAATATTAGCGGTATGCGAGGACAAATGAGGATACGTTGGGAGTAACAAAAACACAAATTCCTGAAAAGTCAAGGACAAATAAGGATTCTTTGGGAGCAACAAAGTCAAGACAAAGAAGGATTCTTTGGGAACAACAGAGTCACATAGTAATGGAAGTCAAGACAAATAAGGATTCTTTGGGAACAACAAATTCACATAGTAATGGAAGTCAAGACAAATAAGGATTCTTTGGGAACAACAAAGTCACATAGTAATGGAAGTAATAATGGGAGAGACAGCAATCAGGTTAGTACAAAATAAAATGAGTAAAACAGAGTAGGGTTAAACCTGAAAAAGTAAACGCAACAAAACAGCGAACGTGTCGGCAGAAAGCCTTCGTTATTGCTGCCCAATGATACTACTTACCAGCTAAGTGCTATTTCTTATTTTTATACCGTTTTTTCTGTTGTTTTGTTCGCTGACGAAGGCTTTCTGCCGACACGTTCGCTGTTTTGTTGCGTTTATTTTTTCAGTTTTAACCCTACTCTGTTTTACTCATTTTATTTAGTAGTGGAAGTCAAGGACAAATAAGGATACTTTGGGAGCAACAAAGACACATAGTAATGGAAGTCAAGGACAAACGGGGATACTTTTGCTGTTTAAAAAAAAAAACAACAAGATATTATTGACAAGCAAGGACATAATTTGAATACATCGGTAGTAGGAAAGACAGATATTAAAGATATGCAAGGAAGATTGTACGGGAAAGGGAATTAAAATACCGTATGACACTTTTAATGTTAAGGTCAAATTGCATGAGGGGTCGTCCAATATAAACTAACGATAAAGGTACTTCAGATTTAAATAAATGCTTCAACATCAATCATCAATCTTTATATGTCTTTAGATTGAGGAATCCGTTTTAAATCTGAAAGGAACCACTTGTAAAGACGCGAACACAGTTAAGATCGACTCTTGTGCTTGCACGTCCATGGATGCAAAATACGTCCGGGTCTTGTGTAACTTTACGGCAAAAACTATTTACAGCGAATCTTATATCTGTTTGTACTATGGCTGGAGCGGCATGAGGCTCAGTCAGAATTTTCGATTGCCTCGAATATACGGTAAGTCATGTGTTTAATAAGTTCCTTTTAGAATAACTTACATCTGCTTACACTGGAGAGAAAACAGTCAACACCAATTACAAACTAATGTTTCATGAAAGCAATCTTTTTACTTTTATCTTTCTTTTCGTTTTCATTTGATTTGATTTTTATGTCAGGTCACTGACTACATTTAAAAAAGATGGCATATAAGTATCAGATTTTGTACATTTCAATTATAAATAACAAATATGTTTGCATTATAAGTCAATATAAATCAACCCAAGCCTACTACTCCCTACCCCGTATTGAAACACAATTATAATTTTGTAGTTAATGAAATACGTTATCAGAGTACATCCAGCCGTCTAATTGACAAGAAGCGTAGGGGAAAATTCATAGTTTAATTTTTTTCAACAACTTTAAGATAACAAAGTTTAGAAATGGTCACCATGTGTCAGGCCCGGAGTCTCGTGGCGTACATACATATGGCATCCTTCCTTCCTCGATAGACTATGGAGAAGCTTTGGACACTTAAACAAATGGCTTATAAGGCCGATCCTGGAATGCCAGATTCGTCTACATTTCTCGCAGGAGAAGCTCGACTCCTGGTTAGATTTGGCCTTCCGTAAACGTATTTTTTTTTTTGGTGCAAAGGCTTTGTTTCGCGCACCATCTGCCCTTTTGAATCCTTCATACCCTAATCTTCTCCAGCTGGAACGGTGCTCAACGATTATCTTCCATAAACTGAATTCTATGATGTATTCCCTCATGCGCCTTTTGTGAAACCGCGGCTGTCCATTAAGTTCTGTCCTTTCTGTCAACACTTCATAAGCAGAGCCTTTAGTATATGGCATTTGTTCATTCTCCTAAAATGTCCCAAACCCTAGTTAAACAATCCATGATTCTTGGAAAGTTGAAAAGACTGTAGGATTTCCTTCAACCGTACTTATATCATCGAATTATGTTGCTCCTCTAAATATTGAGAAGGGAAACTGGGAGAACCATTTTTTCTGTATCCACGGGACTTACGGTAAACATTCTGACAATTGCAGTTTCATGTCCTATAAGACGTGATTCTTATTTTGAATATTTGTCATCCCAGATATTTCCGTACATAAACGCTCTCGTGCATTAGGTCTTCATGATTAATTTCAAACAAGACAGATGCTTCGACCTCTTGGATTTTTTGCTGTGTAGCTTCTGGTTACTTGCCTGTTACATACATACATTGGTCAGGGATCGAGATGATTACAACACTATAATCCATAAAAAAATATTATAAAATGTATTTAACTAAAACAAACGAAATCGGTGACTTACAGGTCAGTGGGAAAATTTGTTGATTTTCTCACGACAGGAATTCGGAAGTAGGCGCGATGTGTTTTTTTTTGTGTTCCCCGTGTTTGGTGAGATGAGAAAGAATGAACTCCTGTCTAACGTAAATTATAGACATTTATTTATTTATTTAGGTATTTTTATAGCGCTTACCTTACAGCTCTATGCGCTTTACAATTATTAACAATATGTAAACTATTTAAACTGCTAAAGTAAATAAAAATGAAAAACCAGAGACACTAGAATAGTAACTACAATGTGAAAAATGACCATTAAAACAGTAGCTTAAACATTAGAATGGCTATAAAAACGAGTACACTTTGGCACGTTTTGGTCTATACTACAGGATCAACCCAAGACAGAAAATGAGGCAGGGCAAGGAGGGTGCATCACAGGTCATAGGTGGACCTAAACAGATGGGTTTTAAGGGACATTTCGAAGTGGACGAGGTTTCTCAATGACGGATATGGAAGGGGAGCTGGTTCCAGGACGTGGGCCCATGGAAATAGAAGGAGCGTTCACCGATGGTCTTAGTTTTGGTTCTTGGGATTGAGAGGGTTCTATTGTCAATGGAAGAACGTAGTTGTCTTGTGGGATGTAAGGAAGCAACAGTTCAGAGAGATAGACAGGAAAGTGAGGGTCAGTGAACGAGTTGAAGCATAGATTGGCAGACTTGTACTTGATGCGAGAGGAAATTGGAAGCCAGTGGAGGTGAAGAGAGTGGGGGGAGGGGGAATTTGACATTGGCCGACTATAAAAGCCAATGAGTTAAAAGCAGTCTGTGTTTGCTAAATCACGGCATTTAAATTTGAGAGTCCAGCCCATTTCTTCCTACAATGGAATTAAAGACGTTTCTTTACTTATAATTATATTGCATATTTCAGCGACTCCCGTGTGCATTGGACCTTCTATTAATCGAGGTAATAAAATAGTATTGTTCTCTAATTGTAACTAACTCTGAAATATTTGTTTAAAATTTGTTTAAGTCTTATGTGTTGAGTAAAGTTTATAAAAGATGGCAACTAAGTTTGAATTAAGGAACCAACGGAAAAAACCCTTTGTCTCAATAATGTTTTTTATTCAAGTTTGAATGTTTGTAAATAGTTATTATTATTCTTATTACAGTGGTTTTATGTAGCGCGGTACACCAGCCTAGGGTATACAACAATATAATTGTAAAATGGATACAATCTTATTTGTTTGTTTTTTGAGTATTTTTTTCTTCCTTTTACAGCAGTCAAGAGCCACCCTGGAAGCTTCTCTGTTTTACTTGGTATGTGTTAGAGTATTAATTTTTAATGTTATTCTACACAGGATTTTAGTGTTCCAAATAGAGACCGTGTATATTTTGTGTAAAGATTGTTGAATAACCGAAAACTCCCACGGGTAGTATGTGTTAACACAGTTGATCGAATGGAATCATCATTTTTTTTTACCTTATCAACATGTCAAGTTTTATATTACATATATATCCATACCTCAAAATTAAAAAAAAAAAAGTCAGCTAATAGATGTAAAAACAAGTTACAATTATTTTTAACGGCATCAGATTTTTTTCAAATTTTACTGCTTTTTAAACGTTTCATTTAGGCTACTGAATGTTCAACGTAAATCTAAACAATTTTAATACAAACCGGCCCTATAATAATAATAATAATAAAGTTCATTTGAAAATCACGCTTCATCCTTAAAGGATCGAAGCGCGGTTCAAAATGAACCATATTAGAAGAGAAATGAAACAATCTATATTTTACCACATTGAAATACAAAACATTAAAAAAATAATATACGAGAATAAACATTCAAAGTCTTTCATCCCTTGCAACCACAAACAACATAAGCCAATATAGATCTAGGAGGTAATAGCAAGCTGAAAAAGATGGTAGACAACATAACTCCAGCAGGTGATGGCGAAATAGATGTGTTTTCAAATCGGTTTTAAAGGACTCCAGTGTCTGACTGTTTCTGAGAGCGACAGGAAAGATGTTCTAATTGTTGGACCAGCAAATGCGAAAGTGCGCTTTCATAAGTCTCAAGGCGAACACGTGGTATCGAGAGTTTGCCACTATCGTATGAGTGGAGTTGTCTAGTGGGTACTTAAGGCGTCATGAGAGCTTTGAGATAGGACGGCGCCAGGTCATGCAAGCAGCGGTAGCACAGAGATGCAATTTTGTGCTCTATGCGAGCTTGGACCGGCAGCCAATGCAGTTGTCTCAGAAGTGTTTTAGTATGGTCTATTTTGCGTTTGCGAAGAACAATGTGAGGATACGAACCCAGCAGGATACAGGACCACCTGCACACACATACATCAGCGTGCAGGCACGGCAGTATATCGCAAAACCCGCTCAATCGGGATTCAGTACAGCATCTCCCACATGTAACGAACCCGGTTCTACCCGAAGGTTCGAAGCCATCGTTCCGTCTAGGGGTTAATTATACCCACTCCACAAACCATTGATTTTTAATATTAAAATACAGTATCTTTACTAACTAGATCTCAACTGCCATTATTCACAAGACAGACTCAATAAAAAATAATACGTCATATCCCCTTTCGCACAATACGTCACAAAATATCAAACATTTAATAAGAACATCTAACCAAATATTCTCAAGCCAACAAGCAATCACAATTTACATTCAAGTCCTGAAAAGTATGATTATGATATGAATAATTTGGCGTAGTTCTAGAAAAATAATGTGAATGTAGATTATTACTAGTAACGCACTGTGCGATGAAACAGCAAAACATCATGAAAAATGTCATTTACATTTTGACTGAAAATTTTAACCGCAAATACAGAATTTAAAATTCTCCCTTCATACGTCATCAGAAGATTATCATTTTTAACACCCAATTTACTTCTTCTTTAGAACGTGGAAAAACTACATCAACAATTTTAAAAACAAATCTAGTTCTCATCCAATCATACTCTTAGATTTTATCCGTTTGGAAGTGAATGTGAATTTTATCTTAGAATATGTCATTTGGTCCACATTTGACAGCTACTGTCACATTAAAGCTTGCTTTCCGCATTTTTTGGAATAACTTTCAAAATTTTCTTCTATCAGTTTCCTTATTTAGTCCCCCAAAACCGTAGCACAAATCTGATCTTCTGCAGTTACTTACCTATCAATGCCTTTTACCCCCCTCTGGGGGCATAGGCCGTCTACAAGACTATTTTCCAGTCATCTTGGTCCTGTGATTTCCTTTCCCGTTGCTTCCAGGTGTATTCCATACGTTGTGTTTCTGCCTCTAACTCTGGTCTCCATCTATTCTTAGGCCTTCCCCTCGCTCCATTTCCCTGTGGATTCAATGTACGGAAATCTCTGGTGATGTTATCTAGGGGTTTACGAAGCGTGAGCCTTTTCCACCTGCATTTTTCTTTACCATGTTCTGCATTAAGTTATTGATATTTCCCCTCTAGTAAGTCTTTGTGGGTGAAAGTGTTTGTCCATTTCTTGTTCAGAATCTTTCTAATGCAAGTGTTTATGGAGGTCTATATTTCCTTCTTGATGCGCGCTGTTGTTCTCCACGTTTCGACTCCATAGAGTAGAAATGTTATCACTATTATTTGAAACTGTCTCCTGGTAGGGCCTATATAGGAAATATTCGATAATTACAGGATTTAGAGATGGAGGAAGATTAGAATCTATAGCTATGGCTGTTAGTAGGCGTAAAGTAGTCGTGTTGAGTAGGCTGTCTTTGTGAAGGGTAACGGTAATGTCAAAAACGTTGTCTGAAGTCTCAGAGAAAAGAGATGTGAATTTAATTGAGGGGTGAAAGGAGCCTAAAAATTAATGAAAAGGTCAAGTTCACTCATCTCTATAGTGTGACCTCAATACCTTCATCAAAATGTATGTATCTGTATCTGTATGGCATCTTTCCATCTGCGGGAGACGATAGATTATCTTTATTGCTTGCAGCTCTTGGTGTGGCTGGTGAGACCAATCCTCGAATGGCAGTCTCTGTTACATTTCCCATAAACGAATGGGGTGGAGCAGTATTTACCGGCCTTCCTCCTCGCTCTTTTTGCAGCTGTTTCCGCTCTGTTTTGATCCTCGGCATGTAGTGATCCTGCCTTCACGATGTCCCACCATGAGGATCGATCCTCTGCCAACTCCTCCCAGTTTGAGATGTCGATGTTGGCCGACTTCATGTCTCTTTTGTATATGTCTAAGTATCTCAGACGAGGCCGTCCAACTGACCTTTTCCCTGTCGCCAGCTCACTGTATAGCACGTCCTTTGGTATGCGACCGGGTTGCATTCGCTTGACTTGTCCAAGCCAGCGGAGGCGTCTTTGGATTAACATGGCTTGGACGCTACACATGTTTGTTTGGGACAGGACATCCGTGTTGGGGATTTAATGTCAAGGATGTGGCGCAGGCATCTGAGGTGGAAGCCATTGAGCCTTCTTTCGTGTTTAGAGTATGTGGTCCACGACTCGCATCCATACAGGAGTGTGCTCAGTACGCAGGCCTGGTACACCTGCAGCTTAGTTCTTGTTGTGAGTTTGGCGTTTGACCAGACTCCTTTCTTCAGTCCAGCCATAACAGTTGTGGCCTTGCCTATCCTCCCACTTATCTCATCCTCCATTGAGAGGGTGCTCGATATGTTGGATCCCAGATATGTGAATCTGTCAACAGTATCCAAGTCGTAGTCGTTTCATCAAAATACCACTTATAGAATTCAGGGAGGCGTTCGGTGTAGTTGCTTTCGGCCATGTGTTCGAAATGCTCCACGAACAAGATTTTGTAGCTGGGTCCTTTTTTAGTTCCATAGCGACATCACTGATTTGGACAAAGAAACGGCCACCAAAATCGAAAGAATTGAAGTTGAGAGACATTTCAGCCAATCAGAGGAGGATAAAGATGGATTAGATTTAGCCTCGAGAAAGACTTTCAGAGAAAAGAGACTGGGATTCTGGGGGATGAAAGTGTATAGAGAACACACATCAAACATAAAATGATGATGTTTTTTTCAGGAGGGACGAGGATAGATCGGACAATTTGTAAAACATGGTTGGTGTCTTTAATGCAAGCGGGCAATAAAGCTACGATGGATTGAAAAACTCCATGATGGAATTTTGAGATAGGCTTTTTTAAGCAAGAGCATGCTGAGACACCAACTCAATTGTACCACTTCCTGTCTTGGACCATGGTCTTCACGTTCTATTAAAGTCTCGTGTGCCATCCGCTTCATCATGAAAGCGACTCGTTGTTTTTGTTGAGCATTTTCCTCCTCATTGCCTGACCAGTGTTTCTCCCAATGCCAAATTTAACTGTCCAGCTTGTGTCCATCTTGTTTCACAGAAACTGAAGAGTGTGAGTTTGTATGTTCTTATATCAGCCGCCACGTGTGCTGATTTTCTTACATTCTCCGAGGCAATGTTTATTGCATTTGAAAGGAGGATCCTCGACCTCCAGGATAATCTGACCTTTATAACTCTTCTTTGGGAAGAAGAGCCTTATCTTCTCGGAGCTGAACTTGTTTTTGGTTTTTTTATTCTTGTTCACATATCTGTATCAGTTTATTTTTTACATGTGAAGTAGTCAACCTCCTCATTTTGCACTTGGGCTTGGGAAAAGCCATGGCTGAGTAATACCCCTGTTTCCCCCCAATCCCATAGAGCAAATTTGATCTATCACAGTTACTGTTATATAATCCTTATAAAATATTGTGCTGCTTTAAATATTTTTTTTTTTTTTAAATTGTTCAAATATATCAGCATGAAATTCCAATTTATTGCACAAAATGTGTGTATCAAAGTATATCATGATATTAATTTTCAGTATTTTCCTTTATATCATAATATGTGAAAGAAATTTCTCTAAATTCGTTTACAACTTCGTCAGGGCCAACAATTTTGTCTGTGTAGTATCAGACTTTTTAACTATGACGCCATCTCCTGACCAATATTTTAAAATACATTGTTGAAGGGATCTACTTTTAACAAAGTGTACCAATTACACTACTTTGAACACCCCACTTTTAATAATTGATGTCCCGCAGTTTTTACATTCTTAAAACACGTGAATGCTGGTATGGCTTATTTTCTTTTGACACACCTTACCCTGCAGGTGACACATCTACATCCAGCAAGTGATACACCTACACCCTGCAGGTGACTTACAGTTTGGAAAGCACTGCCATAAATTAATAATGTCAAAGGTCGTGACTTGGTATCCGTGTATTTCTGATGTAAATCGTATTGATCAGAGAATAGCCAGTGCTTCCCCCCCCCTAATTTACTTTATCAGAGTAGTCCACAAGATATTGCATCATTTGCATACGTACATGGACAGTCATGTCAAGTAGTGACCACGATATTAAATGATCTATGGACGTACACTAATATTTTTTCCCTCTATCCCAAAGGTACCACCCTGTTAGGCACAGCTGTCGTTTGCCTAGCATCATCAATTTGTTCCCAACTGTAATGTACATCAGGCGCCTGTCAATCAAAAAACCCTACGATGAAAGTAGCGATGGACGGAACACTTACTGCACTTAGGATTTATTATATCTGTGCAAGGATGAAGTCCATCGGGTTTTACAACAGGTGTTAAATGATATGCATTACATGAGAAACGTGAGCAATGGAACATTTTGAAGTGTCTGATGAAGACTTGGATGACGAAATTCATGAACGTCCTTCCCATATGGCAAAAGGCAATAACTAAAACTTATCTTAACAAATAACCCACGCAACATAACATATTACAACTTAGCCCCAGTGCTATATGCCCTGCACCAAAAAAGACACAATAAACAATGTAGCAATATCATTTTCTATTTTTAATGAGTTTTGTTTATTTATAATGTCTCACTAATCTATGTTGGTTGCATTTTTAACTAAATTCAGTCATGGCTCGACTACAATGTTTCACAGTCAGATCATCAAAATAAAAGTAGCTCTCCATTTTTTTTTTTTTTAAATTCTTTAAATTAATGAACAACAATAAGAAAAATGAAACTATTTAACTTAATTACAAATGTCCGTAACTTGCAATCTGATGTGTTGTATATTGGTGTGACCCATTTAATATATTCTACAAACACTGATGTTATGATGAATCAAGTAAGGCGTTTTTGACTGGTTACATAGGTATTATATGGCGCTGTGATTTGAACGTAAAAGTAATTGAAACATTGGTGTACTCATTAACATAAATGGTGTTATTGAAATCGATCCCACAATTGGGTGTTTAGTGCATAGTTGTCACATGACTGACATTCCATAATTAGGTGTCTAGTGATAAACACAGGACTTACATTCCATATTTGGGTGTCTTTTGCATATTATACAAAGCTTATATTCCACAATAGCGTGTCTAGTGCATAGTCAAGACTTACATTGCAAGATTGAGTGTCTAGTACAATGTATTAGCATGAATAATTTAAATATAACTAATTAAAACACATTGACAATCAACACTATTCAATGGGAGCCCATTTGTTCTGTTTGATCTGCTCTCATATTTTGTGGGATGGCTCTACGTTTGCTCTATGAGTTGGGTAAATCGCTTCTGTCTTGACAATCTTCTGCTTAAAGCAAATAGTCATCCTCTGGATTGCAGAACAATTTAATACTAAATTATTTATTAACATTTGCTTTTAAAAGATTTGTTATCCACTTAAAAATATGTATAAGGCCACTTCTGGCTTTTGGTGAGTCGTACTAGTAGTCTTTTTCTAATTATGCTGAGAAAGGGAGTTAACTCGTTTATACCAAATACATTTATAAGGCTATATATGATTAAAGATCTTTTACTTTCAAAGAAAAACTACTACTTTATTATGGTAATTATCATTTTATGACTCACACCGCATCCTAGTTACATTAAATAAAAAAAATATATAAAAAATTAAATTTGTAGAATTTAACATGAAATGCAAAAAAAAATTAGAAGGAAATATTTACAAGGCTGTCATCCTCGAATGATAAAATCTTTCCAAGAAATTGTCTAAACTCAGTTAACTAATGTAACTCTGTAACTGTTACCCAATATAACTCTTTAACTATTGTTAATTTCACTTGATTAAGAAAGATTAAACACCTGTAACATTATTGGTTTACGCTTATTTTTCAAAGATTTTGTATCAATTTAAAAAGCTACAATTAGCATTTCGAACAGTCCATAACAAGTCTTTATGGTTTACTACTAATACAGAAACATCTATTTTAGTAAAATTATTCAAATTGATAGGGAATACACGATTTACACATCTAATAATATAATCAAAATAATCACAATATGATTTTAAAAAAAATTAGGATTATATTTATGGTTGGAATGACAAGGATAGGTTGACAAGGATAATTTGACAAGGATAGTTTGAGAAGGATAAAATGACAAGAATATCTTGACAAGGATAGTTTGACAAGGATAGATTGAAAAAGGATAGGTTGACAAGGATGAGTTGACAAGGAAAATTTGACAAGGATAATTTGACAAGGTAAATGTGACAAAGTATTGTTTAAAAGGATGATTTGGCTAGGATAAGTTGACAAAACATTTTTGACAGGGATCATTTGACAAGGATAATTTAACAAGAATAGTTTGACAGGGTAAATTTTACAAGGATAATTTGACAAAGATAATTTGACAAGGATGGGTTGATAAGGATTGATTAAAAAGGAAAAAGGGAGACGAATAATTTGACAAGGACAAGTTGAAAAGGAAACGTTGACAAGGATAGGTTGGAATGGATAATTTGAAAAAGTATGGCCGACAAGGATAATTTGATTAAGATAATTTGACAAGGATATGTTGACAAGGATAATTTGACAAGGATAATTGACAAAGATAGGTTGACAAGGATACTTCGACAAAGTATTGTTGACAAGGATAATTCGAAAAAGATAATTTGACAAAGAAAGGCTGAAAAGGATAATTTGACAAGGATAATTTGACAAGGTTAATTGATATGGATAGTTTGACAAGTATAATTTGACAAGGATAAGTTGACAGTGATATATTGACAAGGATAGTTGACAAGGATAATTTGACAAAGATTAGTTGACAAGGATGGGTTGACAAGAATATATCAGTAAGGAAAAGATGACACGAATAATTTGACAAGGATAAATTGACAAGGATACTTTGACAAAGTATTGTTGACAGGGATAATTTGAGAAAGATAATTTGATTACGATAATATGACAAGGATAGATTGACAAGAATAATTTGACAAGGATATGTTGTAATTACTTCTGCAAAGCAGGCTCACTCTTGATGTAATCAACATTCGAAGTTAAATTTCAATGAAAAATGAAAGGGAATCACAAAACAAGTTGGGCGCTTTACACAATTAATAGGAAATCAACGTTTACCCCAAACATCAAGAAATGCTGTTGAATGGGTTTTTCATCTTCAGCCTTAAACTGATAACCGACATTATTTTCAATGTCACTAGATGTGTCCAAAATTTTACGTTTCAATTACATCCAGTAATATTTAAGATAATAATCTATATTTGTAACTAATTTGCAAGATTTCAAGAATGACAATAAAATATAACCGATCGGTTAATATATAGAGGAAATAAAACAAAATAAGTTGGTTCAAAAACTCCAATGTCGTCTTATGTTGACACTCTCACTCGGCATTTTGTTGTTGCGTCGTTGGTCTCATCTGGCGCCGTCTGCTTGCACTATTACTGGGTGTTTGGGCCGTTCTCAGAAGAAATTATGTTACATGAGTTTTTCATCTTTAGCCTAAACTGATAACTGACATTATTTTCAATGTCACTAGATTTTTTCAACATATTCCGTTTCAATTACATCAAGATATATTTAAGTCCATCATC